AAAATTTAATACATCTTTTACTAGAATTAGCTCTTATTACTCTCAAATCTGCAAATTAATAAAAAATTAATTGATCATAAATCTTTCAGAATTATGAATTTATTATATGAAAACTAATCTAGATAAGAGATTGATACTTATAAATAAAAAAGTATTAAATTTCTCTATAAAATTCTTCTTCTATTAAATCTGCTAGAATATTTTTACTGTATACTTGTCGATTAATCAAAAGACTTGCCTGAAAAAAATCAGAATTAATACGAAAATTAAATTAAAATAAATTTATATATAAAACTTATCATAAAATAATAATTTATATATATTATATTATTAGCAAAATTAGAAAATTTTGAGTCTATGAGAAGTTATTTGCAATTCACAGTTTATTATACTATATTTGTGAATTTGAGATGATTTCTAAAAATTATCAGAAATTAACAAAATAAAATATATAAATTATTAAAAAATTATATAAAAAACATATCACAATATCATTCATATAATTGGTTCAAGTTCTGTTTTATATATATTTTAAGATATTTTATTTTCAATTTATTTAATATATATTTGTGAGATAATTCTAATAAAATTTTATTATTTTATTAAAATTAAAAAATCATTCTTCAGTAAATTCTTTGTTCAGAATTATTTATAAAAATATCTACATATATTTCTGAAAAAAATTATAATAATTCTATATTGTAATCTTATTATTAATTCAGAACCAGACAAGAATACGTGAGTTTATATTTGATTGGATTTAAGATTGCAGATGAAAATTTGTTTGATGCATGTCTTTTTATTTATGCCACAGTATAACATAACTAAAACTGTTTGGAAATCAGATGTATCAATCATTGAAATTGTGAAACTTTTGCTATGCTATACATGTACATGTATATGCTATAGGGATGCGTCGAGAGTCATGTGATATCAATCCAATAGAATGCACAAATTTAAAGTAAATCTGGCGCAAAATATGATAATATATTACATGAAAAACGAAACATGAATTTGTCTTGGAATAATAATTAAAAATGTTGGTGAGACCAAATTAATATAATCTTATCTCTAAACCTAACCTTTACTCTTATTGAAACATTAATAACGGACCGAAAATTCAGAGGGGCTGATCACGTGTATAAACAAATGTAGATAGCGCTGAAAATGAGATAACAATACATAATACATGTATTTTGGTGCAATTGTGCGCGTGCATTGTATGTTAGTTGTGTAAATAACAAACGTCGTCGATTCAATTTGTGACAAAATCCTGTGTCAGTGTATTGGATGATAGTTGTGTCAACTTCGAGTGACAAAATCCTGTGACCGAATATGAACTACAATTTAATTTCCTTGCAAAAGCATAAACATAAAACTTATCGATGCCAATATTCTTGCTTAATAATCATACTTTGCAGTATATTCACACAATACATTTTTATTTAATCGGAGATTATTATTATTGTTATTCCAGTCAATTTTTATAATGTCTTTTGGTTAGATACAGTAGATCGAAAGAAGGCTTGGAATTATAAATTACCATTTTTCTTTATCATTTATACAGGAATGAGTCTTGTGTAACGTCCAGGTGAGAATTGAAATCTATAGTTACATGAACATGTAATAAACAATTCACGAACTTTATTATAAGAATATGGTCATAGTAGTTTGCTAATATTTTTTATCTTTGCAATTTTAGAGTTAAAATAAAATTTATATATGTATTGATTTTTGATTTAACTACATGTTTCCAATTCAGCCGACTGTGACTTTAAAAGATCTGGCCGTAGGGGGTCAAACTACGTATGCACCCTAATGGCTGAAGCAGATAAACAGAATAAACAGGATGTAACATTATAAAGAAGTCTTATATATATATATACTTAACATCAAAACACGTTGACGTTAATATAAACGTTATCTGCTGTAAAGGATTAGGTTTTAGAACTAGGTAAATAAAAATGTAATGGTCAAAATAATATGTTGTTGAATACAAACAAGCGATAGAACAGTAAAAATCGCATTTAGGCGGTGTGCAGCTATATATTTAAACTGAATTACCTATTAAATTGCAAGGTATAAATCAAACAGTTCCATTTCTTTTTTGTAGAAAAAGAATTCTAATTTTGCTGCAAAGCTTCATCATGATTTATATTTTATCTTAAACCTTAATGAGTTCATTCTTCCATATGGTATATCATTAAATAGTAATTTAGCAAAGCGATAAACTTAGAAACAAAATAAAAATGCATGTACCATTTGGGTTTAAAATAATTTATGTCGTAAAATTTCGACTGGTATAAATTGAATTATGATGATTTATTAAATCCATTTTTCTTCCATCTTTGGCATTCCGATTTAAGATACTCTTGAATAAGTTTGAAATTTTAAATGTTATAATATTGATTGATAAAATAGAAATTTTACCAGCAATTGTTCTATTTAATCATTTTTTATTTATAGAGCATTGCAATCATGCGTATTCAATTATATTCTTGAGTTTACATTATAATATATTTACAGGCAAACATAGATAGCATTAAAGCCAGGTATTCTTAGTTATTATCAAATTTACTAGATAAATAATCAGAAATCTTTAATTAAACATAATAACCTTAATAATCCGAAAATGACTCTATGCATACACATAATGAGAGCGATGAATGAGAACATTACGAATTTTCATCAAGCAGAATGTTTGTAATAAATTTATAATTGCGCTAAAATTTTTATTTCCAATTTTGCGCTTTTCCATATCAAAAAGACAAATATAATTCTTTTTAATAATTTCTTTGATAAAGAAGAAATATCGAAAACGAGTTAAATCTAATTTTTAAAAAGCAATCTTATTTAAATGATTAATTTTATTCTTCAAAGATTGAATCAAAAGAAGTACAATTGTAGTTTATTCATATTATTTATATACTGATTCGTTTTTTAATGTTTGCTTTTAGTTTAGTCTAAGTTAATATGACACTATATTGAATAAGTGCATTTCTGTTCTGATTTCTGAAACTTTATAGATTAAACGATTAATTATTACTAAAAGATAATATTAGGAATGATGTTGCATACCGATACGTACAAGGGAATATGATTTGTAGAATCCGACAGGCTGCCGTATTGTTACGATCAAATTTTCCGCCGAAGTTTTGATTGGACAAATCAAATCACGTAATATTAATTCTCAGAAAAAACATCTTGTAATATAATTAATGTTAAAGCTTGTTTATAAAAGTTAGGGTTAGGGTTAGGGTTAGAGATATAAATTATATGTAAAATTATTAATGCGTCAAGGTAGGTTTATGCATAGGCTTCAATTTTTGTATCGGATTTGTTTTACCGGGTTGATCAAAAATTTATGTATTTTTATTGGATCAATATTGCGTAATCAATTTGATTCAATCAACGATTAATCTTCGGAGGAAATTAGTCATACCAAGTCTTTTTACATGGATCTGATGATGATTGGTGGGAAAAGTGGATATTTTAAAAGTTTTTAATCTGGTATTTTATTTTACTTTCATTTAAATATTGTCTCATTTGGGTGCTATTTATTCTAACAAATATAGAAAAGGTTGAATGAGTTGAGTTTACAAGTTGATTTTTATATTGCTAATCTAATCCTATGTTGGCGTACGTATAAAAAAACGAATATAGAAAATGATGAATGAGCTTGTAAAAGAATAAATTTTTTTGTTAAAGTTTAATGGTAAAGAAAAGACAAACGAGTTTGCCAGTTGTGTGTTGTCAATATTGTTCAATTCCTAAAAAATTGATAGTTATAGTGATAAGTTGTTATCATCATTTGTAAAATTTTATTCAATTTAGTTGCGCTGCTATTTTTTTTATCATCAATTACGCATCAATTCATCAATTTAAAATACTTTATTATATAACAATATTAAATATTTCAAACAACAATTTTAATATATACACCGCTTTTAAGCTATTTACCGCATGACATTGTATTTAATATCCCGGTCTTATTTAAAGCTTATACTATTTTAATTGAATGGTACCGTGCGTACTACTTGTAGAATTGGATAATTCTTTGGGGAAGAAAATTCTGCGTGTATTTAAAATCAAAAGCCAATTAGAAAATACTAAAGATATATTGATAGATTATGAGCACGAAGAAGAGGAAAATATAATATCACTATATTATTGTTATACGCAATTGGGACTACAATATGGTTAACATTTAAATATTTTGATATAAAAATACCCGAATATTATTCAAGTTTAAATTAAATTAAGCGGTGAAAAGTACCCGTCACGGAGGAGGAGGATATTATTTACAGTGCTATAAGGTATTATAACAGAATTATCATACACCTGAGGATATCGAACACAACTTGTAAAAATATAATATAATCCCTTATCACCCAATTAACTGTTCCAAGAAACAAAAATACATTACTGATTGAAAACATATATATATAAAGCAGATATAATAATAACATAATACTAAACTTTATTTTTATATATGAAAATTTTTTGGGGTGTTCCAAAATTATTATTTTTAATTAATATGCACCCATGATGACTGACCCGACCCGTTAAACAGGCCTTGTTACTAGTCTTCCTATCCCAGTTCCTTCCCATTGGAGTTTTAATTTATTATGCTTGGCTAATATTGCTGGTTTGCCTAACAGGATCTTTTGTTACAATGGAACACAACAATGTATTAAGACAAAAATTTTTTAATTATTTTTGTTAATAAGGTATAACAGAAGTTTACTATAACGTACTGGGTCTTCGCCTAACAGATTCGTTGTAATGGATTGGGTCTTTCGCTCAACAGATTCGCTGCGAGTGTACAGCAGAAGATTGCGTTAGTTTTTTTAATGATCAATTATTGGAAAAAGTCGCCTTTATTATATAAACAGCCCAAGTTTCTTCAAAAAATCACTCTCGTTTCGGTATTTCTAAGCAATTAATTGAATATTTTCATATTTAAATTCAAATTATTGTATTCACTCAAAATTAAAATAATGAATCAACCCCCACCAAACCAACAATTTCAGCAACAAATCCCTGCTGGGCACATCAATTTTATCTACGGTACAAACAATATCTTCAGTCAACAATTGCCTCAGCAACAACCTCCAGCTGGAAGTATAAACATGATGGAAAAGTTTATAACTGGAACCACGGACATATTTAAATAATTATATATAATGAACAATTATATGTGCATTAATTTTTACCGTTAATTCATATAGACAATTATTGCGTATAAGGGAATATCGAGAAATTTACATTCATTCATACTTCTCATATTTTCCATTATTTATGAAAATTCAGAATGTACTGTACAAAATAGACATCCCTTATTCTATTACAATTATTACTGAATAACCTTTTATAAAGTACTCACTATATATTACGGTAATCATCTTTTGTTTCTGTTTTCTCTAATAAAATATTGATCGATTGTTGAGATTTATTGGAAATACCTTATTCGCGTGAATACTACCGGAATTTCCAATACCTTTGAAAACATCTTTTTAGCTGGTACGAAAATTCTTGGGCTTTTTACATTTCAGAAAATTATATAACTAATGTCATAATCCAACATAATTTTCATTAAAAATTATTTTATGCAGTTCGTACGGAAAGTTATGACGGTTAGTCTTTTTATCTGAATAGGACATCATACACTAAAAAATCAACACATAATGCATTTTCTATTCATGCCAATGCAGGTTTGAATGCACTATTAATGATGTTATTTCAATAAGCTTCTTTTAAACAGTAATAAATATTGTTTCTAATACAATTTTTTAAGTTGAACATTATTACTAATGGGCAAAGTCTAGTAAAATCTTGCGTAATCGCAAGTCAAATTGATAATTTCACTCTGTATCAAAATTATCTAATTCTTTGATCTTCTATAATTCTTTAATTCTCTACCGGCATGACCAACTACATGTGCACAATCCAAAATTTTCTTTACCTTGGTGCCCTATTGATTTCCACCATGAATATTTGCAATTTTCCGGATGTTTACGATCATCATGATGATTTGTTTTTCCAACATGAATAATTAGCCTCTTTGGAGCTCAATATTTCGAGGTCCAGTGGCGGAAATCGAATGCGAAGCCATTATAGAATCTAAGCCACAAAGAGGTGCGTTAAATAATAAATCGAGATTCCACGTACGTTCTCTTTGGGGCTTAATATCTCGAGAGCCAGTAACGAGATTCAAGTGTAAGGCATAACATTCGTTTCCTAGGTTCTAATGAATAAATGGTGGACTTTGCATTCTGGATCTCGAGATATTGAGTCCCAAAGAGGCTGTGCGTTAAAAAATAAACCAAAATTCCCACGCATAGCCTCTTGGAACTTAATTAGAGATGGGCACACAGTATATTTTGGGTTGATTAGGGGAGTCACAGACCCTCCCCCTACATAAGATATGCAATTTAACCATCAAACAGTAATGATTATATAACTTCTATTTTGAAATCTTGTGCTATGTAAGATATCTTTGTACATGTACTGCATATAGCGCATTCATGCGCATAGTTGTACTGTATCACTATCGTTATACATGTACAACGATACAAATACTACAACATATTATAATACAGTGCGTATATTATGTATAATGTTCGAATATACGCGCATTTGTCCATCACTAGGCTTAATACATCAAGACCCAGTGGCGGGAATCGAGTATAAGGCATAATATTCGATTTCTTAGAATTTTGGTGAATCGAATATGAGCTTTGCATTCGATTCCCGCCACTGGGACTCGAGATATTGTGCCCAAAAGGCAATCATTAAATTATTCATGGTGGAAATAGCAAAGCACTATGAAGAACATAAACATACGACTATTTTTTATCACGGTAGAAATAGGGATACTCTTTATTTATGACTATTGTTATTATTTCAACACTTTATTTATGATTATTCTTATTATTTCAACACGTTTTTTATTTCAATTAATTTGGAATTATTCTTAATCTCGCTGGTCTATCCATCTTCCCGAAAATTCAACTTACCGACCACCATTTTCCCGGAAATCTAACATCCGACAGTCTAACATCTCCGACACCTTAACATCTCGACAGCCCAACTTTCTAACAAACCAACTCCCCGACAATCCAACGCAATTTAATATCCTGACCACGACTTACCTACATACCCGACTTCCCGACAATCTACTAGATTGTCGGGATGTTAAATTGGATTGTCGGGAAGTTGATCTGGATGTTATATTGTATTGTTTTGATTTTACGGGAAAATGGGTGCCGAAATTTTACAGTTTCTCTAATTACTTCCGGAAACTTTTCCCGAATTGACCTGCATGTGATCGTATGTAGATCGTATGGCTGAGTTAGCAATCGGATTTGGCAACAATTAAAAAATTCAATATTTTTTATGTCGTAGTAGAAATTTCTTGACAACTTATTTAAGTTGTAGTTCATCCGATCAACCGCGCACTTAATAAATAATTTTGGTGCATTGTTTTGAAAATTTTTGTGCGTTGCTTGGGCCATTTTGTACAGTATTTTGACCATTTGGTACATTATTTTAACTATTTTGTACAGTGTTTGGACCGTTTCGTAGAACAGAATAGTCTTAGGTATATCTTTTAGCCCATTGTTCCAAAATATAGACCAAAACATGTACCATTGATTAAAGTATATTGGACATATGACCTTAGTTTTATTATAAATTTCGTATGACTGATGACCAAAATCATATGAAAATGGCTTATGATCATGAAGTTGGCCAACACTGTTAGGCATGCACTTGAACCTTAATCAAGTAATTGAAACAGCATCACCTCTAGCCTGTATTATTGACTTCGGATTTAGCTGCTTTTACCAGAAAAAAGCCAATGTTTTGTTATTTAGTTCTCCTTGTAGAATATATTAAAATTCTGTCTCGTGGTTCTGTGAACCTTTTCTCGTCAGCTTAAAAGAAGTTTATTTTAAACTCACACATAATCTCTTTTATTTGCAACTTAATCAGCCTTGCCCCTTTCGAATAATTCTCCATATTGCATTAAACACTCAACATCACAATACCTTTAGAAATCCATTTAAAGAGCCTCTTTTACATCGAAGAAACTTCAGTCTAATCTCCTACTACGTGTTAATCTGAAATTCAATAGATTGGATAAGCATTACAGTAAATCTGTAACAGAAAAGTGCAATCTTACTGCATATGCTACCATGCTTAATGAAAGTGTAATACCCGATTCACCCAATTGTAATGCTAGATTTGTAACCGAATTTACAACTCGCGATGTTAAATTTACTACTGAACTCAAATATTTGTAATACCAGATTAACGTTAATTTTACCTCACGCAATGAAAAAATTATGCAGAAGTTCAAAAAAATCTTGACATTAACTTTTATCTCAAGGCTTGATGAGATCGAACAAGTCCTCCAAACAATTTTGGTAGAGTTGCAATTGAATTGGATCAATCATAATGCTTCAAAATGAAAATAATCTATGTTATGCGATTTTTAACAAAATCGAATCCATCAAGGAAGCAAGGCTTCAAGATAATAATTTATTAATAAAATAAGTTTGGAACTTCTTCTGATTCTAGTTTTTAATGATTATGGGAGGATGTGTAGTATCATGACAGTTGAGATTCTTATTCTTGGAATGGAAAAGCTTGAATAAGATTCAATCAAAGATTATTATCTAGAATTAATGATATAAAGTAATAATAACTTAGATAAAATAAATGTTTGGATCAATAGCAAGCAAACAATAGTTAATAGTGAGAAGAAAATTTCATTATGTGAGGATTGAGATGTTTCCTTCTTTTAAATGCCCGCTATCTTATATTTTTTATTGCAGTGAATTAAATTAAATGACCAAGTTTCTACAGGAAAGGCTACTATATACATTGCTAAACAGTATTTAGAATGGCATTTAACGCATACTGAATGGATCAGAAATAATATGAATCAAAATTTTCTCTTGATCAATTTAATAGCTTATTGAATACAAAAAATCTTTATTAATTTTTATTATATTAAAAGATGTCAGTCAATATATCACTTACAAAATTTCAGATTATGCTAAAAATTATGTCTTTTGTACTATTTTATAGTTAGTATCTGATAATGTTTTATATAATTCTTTTGAATATGCATTTATTGCTTCTAAAATACATGTCATTTAAGTCTTATAATCTTTAATATAAGCAATACACTTAAAGATCATATCATTAAAAATTGATTCATTTTCACATTCATCAAAATTCATTATAGTATATATTTCCACAGCATAATCAACTTCTTGACTTTTTGATATCTTATTTTTACACTTTATATTCCAAACATCTCAAATTCCTTCCTCTGTCTAAATATATAAAGAGCATGAAAGTAATCCTAGAATAACTGTTCATAGATGATATCTATTAGATAATACTAATGAGATTAAATATAGTGAAAAGTGTCGATACATTCTTTTTGATTTCCTCGTTCTCTTTACACTTGTGCTGACATGAATATCATTATCGCACAATTCAAGGATAATAAGAAAGTTCATTCTCCCTGGCTGATGTTTAGGAAATCCATCTACTGGAAACAGTTCCAGATCTCATGTACAGTCGTCTCAAAAGTAACGCCCGATCTGTATGTGTAACAAGATCAATAACTTTATACATGGCGTTTCCCCCTTTTTTAATTTTTTTTTACCAATTTTTATGTCAATCACTCCGTAAACTTCACCAAAACACTATAATAAATAATTTTTATGTGATTATGACATCCATGCGTACCCAGATGACTGACATGGAGAAGGGAAAAATACTAGCATATATGGAGAATATGAACGCTGAACAAATTGCATGAAAGATGAAGCGTGACCCCATCACAATACGACGATTTATTACCAAGTATAAAAAGACCAAAAAAATCGATAATTTACCACGGTCCGGAAGACCGCTAATATTTTGCGACGAATATAAAAAAAATCAATGCAAATACTTATCTTCGAATTCTAGAGACTCAACTTTTACCATTTCACAATACATTTTGTACATTAATGGGTGAAAAAATAATGCTTGCAAGATAATGCCCGATCCATACTGCAATCAAAGTTAAAAAATGGTTTGAGGAAAAGAAAATCAAGATTATGGATTGGCCAGCGAATTCCCCCGACCTTAACCCTATAGAAAATATTTGGAAGCTGTTTAAGGATAATATTCAAAAGCGCGAAAGCTTTCCAAGAACCGTGGCGAGCTCAAAGCTGCCTTAAAGGTGGAGTGGTCGAAATTTGATGTCAATATTCTTAGGGAGGTTATTGGCTCAATGCCAAGAAGAATTAACGTGGTATTGGAGGCAAAAGGAGGGCCAACAAAATATTAATTAAATATGAAAAATCGAAATTATATTTTAAGTTTTATGATAAATGAAAATCAGGCGTTACTTTTGAGGCGACTGTTTTTGTTTTGAATTTTTTTGTTACACAAGATTAAAAATCACATGGTCCATAACTATTTTTAGCCATATTGTTTAGATTTAATTATCTACAGTAACATTGCGGTTTTTTTGCTATTATTATTATGCAATTCTGTTTTACATAGCGATAGTGGGTTATTAAAAATCTTGGCCCTGGTACCCGAAATGAATCTTATTTAATATTATGTAACAATCACACAAAAACATTAAAAAAATATTTCGAGACACAAAATGTTCAAGATGGAGCAACAACTACAAGTAGCTGTCTATTCATGTAACATAAAATAATCACAGCAGAAAATAACGCCGCCGCCGTAAATTTTTTTTCGTACCAATAGAAAGTAATCAAGAAAGTATATATACAAGTCATATTCCATCAAATAATCACTCATTTTTTATTAATCACCTTAATAATTATTTAAATTAATCCAACTTCCAAATCAACAAAAGCTGCCTCAGCAACAATCGTAATAACTCTCAGCCGAACATAAACATAATGCAAGACATTGTAAATGGGACCGTTAAAATCTTCAATCAACAACAATTGCCTCAGCGAAGACAGCAACCGCTCTCGGTTAGACGCGTAAATACGGTGCAAAACATTGCCTCTTTGGGACTTGATATATCGAGACTCAGTGGCGGGAATCAAGCACATGATCTACCATTCGATTCATCAAAACGTAGGGAATCGAATGGTGTTAATGGAACCACTAATATCTTCAATCAACAATATTGTCTCAGCAACGACGAAGGCAACAAACTCCCAGCTGAGCACATAGAAATGGTGCAAAGCATTATAAATGGAATTACGGGTATTTTTAATCAACAATTGTTTCAGCAACAATGGCATCGACAGCAACTCCATGGCGCTAAGAGTCTATCAGTACTTCCAAGATTATCCAGATGTATTGATGGGATAGATAAAATTTTGAAACCAACTCTAATTGGAAAGTTAACTCAGAAAGTTAGTGATAACTTGAAAGTTAAGCTTTCTAATTATTTATTATTAAACATGGCGCAAAACTTTATAAATGGGACCAATGATATTTTTAAAAATAACATGGCGCAAAACTTTATAAATGGGACCACTGATATTTTTAATTAATAACATTGTCTCATCAACGATAACAACAATCTCCAGCTGGACATGTAAATATGGTGCAAATCATTATAAATGAAACTATTTAAATCAGCAACAATTGCCTCAGCAACGATGGCAACAACTCCCAGCTGGACGTATAAATGTGGTGCAAATATTATAAATAGACTCATGTATTATATATAAAATTGCTGTTACATCATATTTATGTGTCTAGCTGGGAGTTTGTTGCTAAGTATTATAATATAAATGGAATCACCAACATTTTAATCAATAACAAAATTGTTTCAGCAATAAAAAAATAAAAATGATTACCATAATGATAACTTCCAGCTGGATATGTAAATATACAAAGCTCTATAAATGGATTTAATTAGAAAAATCAAGATTTTTTTTACATTCAATAATAAAAATGAAATTAAGCTTATAAAATGCATAACGATAATTTGGTATCTATATGTACTTAGTGTGCTAGGCTTTATCGTTATAACATAATTTATAATCAACTCTCCATAAAGATATTTTATTCCTTACTACTCGAAAATCATAACGACAATGATAGTGCATATTTTGTCGTTATTCCACGACGTACATTAACCCATAAAAAGCCTAGACGAGATTACACAACGTTTGTTTTATAACGATAATAATGCACTTTTACTTTATTACGTATGGCCACTATTACTTAATTTGGAATTTTCGCTTTTGTTATAAAAATATGCCGGTATTGTTTCACAAATAGAATGATAATGGCATGCATGATGATAATAAGACATATGCACCCACCCGTGATAACCGACCCGCCCGTTAAGCAGGATCCTTTGTTAACAAGAGCACAGCAATCGTCAAACCGATTTTTTTTGCTAATAATGTTATAGCGGAAGTTCACTACGAATTTTTTTTGCTAATAGATTTATTATAACGAGGGTCGTCTAGCGAATGAACAATTTTATTGTGAGAAAGCTCATTTTTTTTATGTCGATTCACTCACTCTCCTTATTATCATTTGCATTTTGAGGCTTATTTCCTTTATTATAAGCATATATATATAGTATACTTTATGCGCAGATGCTTTTTACGATTCATATAAGTATGCACGAGCATGCTAAAATAATCAATATGTATAGCAATTAAATTTTCACGCAAATTAAAAACACTTACTGTATACATGTACCATGTACTCCTTTATTGAATACACACCGACTTTTCAATTATCTCAGAAAATTAGACGTGTTTCGAAAGGATGAAACTTTATAAATCAGACAATTGAATAAATTTATTATTGACAATCCTTCATTTACCATTTTCTATAGTCATCGTTCATTTAAATGTGTTGATACTAACACTCGGAATTTTATTTTCTAATAAGTCATGCAACGTTTCACAGGAGATCTGTAATTGGACATACCACATGTAATTTTATTTGGTAATGGGACAGAAGTGCATGATAATATTATATTCTTTTATTACTTATATTTAATCATTCTAATTCATATTATTTTTATTTCACATTTTTATATCTCCTTACTATAATCATTTTTTCTGAATTTATTTTTGCTCAAAATTTATTAATATAATTTTCATACTCAAATTTCTCAATTAAAGCTCTGTTTGGATCAGTTCGGATTGACCCGAAATGATAATGTCAGGTTTCGGATTGATCCGATAATTAAATACATGAACATGTACATGTATAATGATTGTTTTATTTTTATACATCCAGAATACATGTATAAACGCTTCTTTATAAAAGATGGAACCGAATACATGTACATGTACTCATGATGCGGTAAATGTACTGAACTGATTACCAAAATTATATTTTTAATATTAAAATTATAACCAGTTCCAAACTCTAACTAAATGTCAAGAAAATGAATACTGCTTGGGATGTTTTTTATATACAAACGAATTTATATAAATTATCCAGTGGAAATAAAATAGATCATCGAACTTAAAGATCTACATGTAATTCCAACTACGAAAAAATTGACTTGGGATCAAAAAGTAGAATATTTATATTATATAATTTATAATCTAAGAAAAATTCATGAAGAAATGTTGTACCTTGTAACTTTCATCCTGGAAATATATTATCAATGTGTAAATGTCCTACTCCTGAAGTTATTCTTGATCAAGATATGAATAATGCTGGACCATCTAAAATTCTTGAAGAACTCACCAAAAAGACTATTCACAAAAAGAAAAGTAAAATCACTTTACCTGTACTTGCTACCATGGCTGAACCATATGATATTCTAGAAGATTTGGCTCAACAGAAAGCAAATATAACTGTTGCTCA